GGGCTGGATTCGAACCTGCCAGCTTAGGTGTATGTGGCTGGTACCTTAGCCACACGAGCCACAGGCGCCGAGCCATGCTGGGTTATTTTTAATACTAAGTGGTCTGTCTAACTAGAGGGATTTTACTTCACGTTGTTAAGTCCACTTTAGTGAATTAACACTAGAACTGGGCTTGGCCCATAGTGTGTTTGCTAAATAAAACTTTTATTTGATGTTTTAAAAATTGTAAGTTATTTTTATGAGAATAATGTAGCTATGGTTTTATTACCTATCTCAAAAATTTTATTTATAAATGGGTACAGTAATGACTTATAAAAAAGAAAATGACTTTATATAGTGTTCATAAATGTATTTTCCAATAAAGTTTTGGAATATGGTGACAATTTCAAAATTGTGGAGTTTTTCTTTTTATTAAATTATAGCTATGTACATTAATGCAATCACGGGGTACAGTATGGTGTTTTCGTATACAATTTGAAATACTCTCATCAAACTGGTTAATGTAGCCTTCATGTCATTTTCTTAGTTACTGAGTTAGGACATTCATACTCTGCTTTTAGAAAGATTTACTTGTACTCTTGTAAGATAAACCATAGAGGTGACCCCACCAATCACCCTCACTCCACCCATCCAACCCTCCTCCCCTCTCCCTCCATCCTCCCCATATTCTAAGGCTATAATTAGGTTATAGAATTGTAGAGTTCTTTTTTAAAGGTAATACTGATTAACTTTCATTAAGAGGAACTGCTATATTTTGTTGTTTACTATAGAATGGAACCTACAAAAGTATTCATGCAATGGCCAAAGATATAGATCTGCTAGCAAAAAATGCCAAAACTTATAATGAGCCTGGATCTCAAGTATTCAAGGTTAGTTTTTTGTTGTTGCTATTTTTATTGATATTAGTAAATGATTTAGGGTCAATAATTTTGATATAATAACTTCACTGAGATATGATTCACATACCATGTATTTCACTCCTTTAAAGTGTACAATTTAATGGTTTTTGGTATATTAAGAGTTGTATAGCCATCACCCCAATCAATGTCACTGTATATTTCCCCCCAGTATACCCAGCCCTAGGCAACCTCCAATCTGCTTTCTGTCTCTGTATGTTTGCCTGTTCCAAACATTTCATATAAATGAAATCATATACTATGTGGTATGGATTGTTTTGTAACTGAATTCCTTCTTAACAGATTCTAGCATAACATTTTCAGGATTCATCCATGTTGTATCCTATGTCACTACTTTATTCTTTCCATTGCTGAGTAAGGTTCTATTGTATGGACATACCTTGTTTTATTTACCCATTCATCAATAGGTAGCCACTTGGATTATTTCTACTTTTTAGCTTTTATGAATAATGTTGCTATGAACATTTGCTTGTTCATAATTTTGTGAAAATTTTTATGTACACAGATGTTTTCATTTCTTTTGGATACCTATCTGGAAATGGAATTGTGAGGTCATATGGTAACTATATATTTAACTTTCTGAAGAACTATCAAATTGTTTTCCAAACTAGCTGTGCATTTTACGTTCTACTAGCAGTATACAACTACTGTAATTTCTCCACATCCTCACCAACACTTGTTTTTCATTTTTTTTATTCTTATTGTGACCATCCTAGTGAGTCTGAAGTGGTGTGTCATTGTGGTTTTGATTTACGTTGCCTTAATTAGTAATGTTGAATATCTTTTCATGTTCACATTGGCCATTCTCCTGTCTTCTTTGGAAAAATGTCTCCTCAGATCTTTCCCCATTTTTTAATTAGGTTAGTTGCCTTTTATTGTTGAGTTGTAAGAGTTCTTTTTTTTTTTTTTTTGAGACAGAGCCTCAAGCTGTCCCCCTGGGCAGAGTGCCCTGGCAT